GTGTCAGGAAGGTGAGCATCATAGAATGCCAATTTACTAGAAGAAAGTATTCTTGTGTTGAGGGAGTACTTGAGTGGAGGCCCAATGTCCTTCTGCTTCCTTAATACTAAACCTATAAATGTAGGCTCATAGATCTATTTCCCCATCCTCATATATTGACTGCAACTCTTTATAGGAGTAGAAAGCCTCGTCTTAACCCTCAAGAGTGACTGATGGTTTCGACCTGTTACCCTTAAGGTTAGTAGCCCAATGTGTAACCACTACTCTACCGGGTCACCTTCCAAAAATCCCTCTAGAACAATTCTACTTTGTAACTCACAGGGTCAAATTTGACTCAAAGGCAGTGAATTGGTTTTAATATTGAATGTTAATATTCCTCTGTATAAGCTTCTGCTTCTCCTTCTGCTTTCATATGGCAACAATTTTCTGAAGCAATATGGATCTAAATTAGTCTTTAAAATATTGTATTTTATTGTCTATTTCCAGGCATAAGACTTAAATGATTGAGTTGCATATTGTACTTTGAAATTTCTAGATGTTCTTCAGAAACTAAGCTAGAGTTGCTAAACTACCAAATAGGATGCCAATAAAGTGGATTTGACCTACTCACCTATCTTGGAAGGTAACAAGTATTATTATGGTTAGGCTGATACCAAATAGCCGCCTGAATCAACATAATTGAAAAACACTGACTCAATTAGGTTTCTGGCCCTTGGGCCACACACATCTTGACCCAAATGGATTCATTAGGAATTAACTCAGTGATAACCGAATTAGAACCAACAATCCAGAAATCACAAAACCATACCAAAATCTAAACTCATTGTCTAATAAAAAGCTAACTAAGCTATTGATCTGAGCGTGGGTTATTAAAATAATTTGAAAGAACTAATACATATACAATCCACACCTGCTTATAATCATAAAGGGAGGTTTTAAAGCCCAATTTTAATATGAAGACATCATTTATCCATGCCTTGTCCCCGAACAATAATAACAAACACTGAAGCAGAAGAATGAATTATCTATCTTCTTCTTGGTGGCCAACAACATAACTTGAGTGCTTTCAGGGGCTGGGCCATTTTTATCTCTATTTTAAATGGCTAGACGAAAACTTCTGTTACCATAGGAGCAATCTGCTGCCAGGGCCTGCCTGCACGCCGAGCACCTGCTTTCTCTGGTCTAGAGGCAGATGGTAGATCATAAAAATAGAGACCATGGGAAAATGTCCAGAAAGATACTCCCCTTAAAGCCCTTTAGAAGCTTAATTTTCCTGAAATTTAATATTATACACGTACATGTTTTATGTTAACATCTAAAGCTCGGAATTTGGAAATTGATGCATGGACATTTTATATATATATATATATATATACACACATTCTAATATATAGAATATATATAGATATAATATATAGAATATCTATTAGAATATATATATTCTAATATATATATTCTAATATAGAATGTATACATATTCTAAATATTATATATACAGTGTTAGAGAGAGAGAGGGAGGGAGAGTTGGAATCCCAACAAGTACCCTGTTATCAGGACAGGGTCTGATATCATGACTGTCAATAAAATTGAAGGTGGATGAAAATGAGGAAGCCCCTCAGCAAGACGGACGGACAGAGTGGCTGCAACTACGGACTCAAGCACAGGAATATTTGTGAGGGTGGTGTAGGTCCGGGCAGTGCCTTGTTCTATAGTAAGCACATAGGATTTCTAGGAATCAGAATCAACAGTACCTAACAACAAAAGCAAATATCCCTAGGGAGCCTGGGTAGTTCCGTGGTAGAATTCCTACTTTCCAAGCAGGAAACGAGCTCCATTCCCCACCAATGCACCTGGGGGAACCAGCAAGCCCCCATTAGTGAAGACTAGCATGTTGCTGATGTGATGCCGAAGAGGTTTCTGCACAACCTCCAGAAAGAAACAAAGAAAGATGTGTGATCGACTTCCAAGACCTACGTTTAAGAACCAGCCTATAGAGAACTCTGGAACGCATTGGCCCAACAGGGACGGGCAGTGGGGCCGTCCCGTCCCCAGCAGCAGCTCCAGGTCCCCTCAGCAGCAGCTGCTGTCTCAGTCCGTCCTTCGCACTACCCTACCTGCAGCTCTCTGAGCCCCACTGGCATGGAGTCATCCGGACTCGTAGCCACGCTCTAGGACAGAGTAGCGCTGATCTGGTGGGACCCCGCAGCTGCACATCTTGACGGGTGCAGACAGCCCTTGGCCTCCTCTTTCCCTTCAGCTCCCGTGAAGATCCACAGCCTCGGAATCCCACCAGGGCAGCGCTACTCTGCCCCAGAGCGTCGCTAGGAGTCCGGATCAAGTGCGTGGCAGGGAGTGGTGGGCGTTATGGCACAGGTTCTCTATGCGGTAACCTTCTTTCTGTTGGTTGGACTCGTGATGAGCTAGGCGGTCATAACTTGGTCTGGTAAGATGCGTTATCTCGTAGGGTCGAGCTTCTCAAACCTTACCTGCCTGGGAACGCTCCGCAGAGTTTGTTAAAACAAGTGGTTTCTTGGGTGGACCCCCTAGAGATTCTGATTTAGCAGGGCTGGAGGGGGTGGAGGTGGGGCGCTGAGAATCTGAATTTTAACAAGCTCCTGGAGAATGTTGATTCTTCTTGTCTGAAGGCCATCCTGAGGCGGGTCTCCCTTTGGGCTGTTACTGGCACTTCTGATTCTTCGGCCAGATTGGCTTCTCAGTAAGGACGCATTTTAGGCTGACCAGATATTCGAAACGGGTCATTTGCTCACACTCGGACGTTGGGGTTCCATGCAGAGATGCTCGATCAGCAGATGGCTGGGATCTGTGGAGGCAAGGCTGCTTCGTGCCGTGAGGCAGCTAGGGAGAGTCAGCCCAGGCAGTCTGTTTAATTAACTGTTGTACAAACCCACACACCAAGAGTTACGCTGACAGACGACTGCCTTGGTTGGTGCCATTCCTAACAAGAATGTCAGCTGAGATATGACTGATAATCATCTTCACCCTCTGAATTCAGAGGGAGTGCTTATGGAGGCTAGATTCTGCTATTGTAATTCTACCAGCCCACTTCCACAGTTTGAACTGATCCCAAATGTTTAAAAAGCTTAGTCTGCAGCAACTGAATGGGGTTTATATTTACATTCTCCTATAACCACAGTTTGTTAAACACACGACTTTCATGTGTGGATCTGTTAGGAAACAGCAGCCACATTTTGAGATGTTTTACTCAGAGCGCCCTTTGGCGCGCCAACATACCTTATTTAACTTTATGAAATACTCCAGTCCAGCTTCCAAGGGATTTGTATCACAGTTCATCTAAAAGGGAACACACACATTTTAAATCTTAAATGAGCAACAATCATTTCCAC